TATGTATCGATTTGACTTTCCGCACTTTCTGCAGATTCCGCACTTTCCGTACTTTCTTCAAATCGATACGTATCTAATGCTTATCTTCACTTTCCGCAGATTCCGCACTTTCCGCACTTTCCGCACTTTCTGCAGATTCCGCACTTTCCGTACTTTCTTCAAATCGATACGTATCCAATGCTTTTCTTCACTTTCTGCAGATTCCGCACTTTCCGCACCTTCTGCGGATTCCGCGCTTTCCGCACCTTCCGCACTTTCCGCAATTTCTTCAAATCGATACATATCTATTGCTTTTCTTCACATTCGGCATTTCTTCAGATTCCGCACTTTCCGCACTTTCGGCATTTCTTCACTTTCTTCAAATCGATACGTATCTATTGCTTTTCTTCACTTTCCGCACTTTCCGCACTTTCGGCACTTCTTCACTTTCGGCACTTCTTCACTTTCTTCATGGTCGCAAGCTATGAACGCGGCCTAAGGAGGGTCCGGCAGGTCCGCTGTAAAAGACGAAGGCGAAGTTCCTGATTATCACTTAAACCAGAAATTCGTCAGTATCAGCTCAATTCAAAGAGCCACTTCGAGCTAGCGTTCTCCTCTGCTGAGAAAAGAAGCTAAATCCAAGATTCCAGCACCTACGCCCATCTCACTGGGCCATACCGTTCACTAATTTCAGCATCTGCATATTACGCGATAGAAACTTCCAACCGCTAATAATTTGGAAAGAATTATAAAGAGGAGACATACACAGCCAATACACACTCACACAGAGGAATTCCGTGACCATCCCAGGCACTTACACTAAATCTCTGATGGTGAGATGCGGTAGGCCTGTCTGTGTAATTGAACGTGGTGGCAAACAAGGTTTCCTCGATATATTTTCATTTATTTTAGGACAGTTGTACATGCCTTTGTCCAACACAGAACAAGATGGCAGTTGTCTCCAAATTAATTTTCCCACGAGTAACTGCCACGCCTACTCCATCTCAGGGATAAGTAGGGTATTTCTCGTGTTAACGTGCTCCTTTCCATCAACTCCGTCGTCGATTTTAATCCGTAATATGTCTCAAAAATGTGTAAAATAGTTGTTTTCTTACTCGCTATGACTTTTAGTACCCATGTTTCAATGAAAAAAAAACTACACGGAAGATCGCCTTCCACAGTTTGTAACATCTCAATGAGACAGGGCGGCTCCAATAAGGATCGAATGAGTACACCCGCGGCTCCCCATTGGTGCAACAAGGCAGCCGGAGGCGGGTTCATCCCACCCTTCCTACCACCGTCCCGTCTCACTGCAATGGCATAAAGTATACATCGTCTTATCTATTTTGGGACATAAAAAGGAGCCCGATGGTTCCGTTCTCATGAAAAATTAATGCTTTCGATCTAGAAATATTCGAATATTCCGACGTAAACAACTGCAAGACAAAATAGTTACAAAACGAACCTCTAGTTTGTCTGCTTCAGTATCATAATAACCACGGACTCCTTCAGGAATAGGCAAATCATGCAGGTAATCGTGGCATTTCGACTGAAGATACCTGTTCAGACACCAACACAGAGGACGGCAGTAGATTCAGAATGACAACAAACCTTGTGTTTACCACCAATCGAAAACCGTCCTTTGAAGAAGTGCCCTGGCTGTAGAAGATGGTTTGAGTAAAGTTCCGCTTCCACGTGGTATTTCGTCAACCAAACCGTGTACTTGCGCTTCTGCCTGTTGAACGATTCAACCATCGCAACCTGAAACACCATTTCCAGATGAAAGCCTATGGACTTTGAGACCTATTTGCCTTAAATACAGCCCCGCGCTCAAGTAGTACATGGTCGTCCTTCCTTGTGCAAGTAGTACAGCCCCCAAGCTAGAGACTGTCCCACTCTCGCGACTCCACAGCGAGCGAGGAGCGAGCTACAGCCGCTGAAAGTTCTAGTTCTAACGCCCGCCCAGTTGGACCGCCCACTTGCTAGATGCCCTCTGACGGAGAGCCGCTCAGTTGTTCTTTGTTGGGGCGGCGGGCATTAATCGGAATCGCATGCCCTTTTTGCTGACCGCGCTCGTGCCCATGAATGATTCTGCTCTCCTTTCATTACATTTTATTCATTAGGAGCACATACAGTCAACTGCAACCCATCTCGCAAGGTAAAACGCGTAAAAATCACGAGTGATGTCTTCTTTGCGTGGATGATACACACTGACGCATGATTGAATCAAGGCAGGATTTGTGAGCCACAGGTTGCACAGAGACCGCAGGGAGGTGTGACTGTCAGGGCGCGAGTTTGTTTATGGTGTTCTTGAGGAATCTTTTTTCTTGGGAACTGCCTTACCAGCTACTGTTTCATAGCTGAACACCAACTATCCATGACGCTTCTTTTAAGATTACGTAGTGAAGCACTCGATATGGCCGTGATTGGAGCAAGTTTGACCTTGTAAGAGTGAATTGCGTGAAGTGTATCCGCCTCTCACCAGCCAGTTGCAAAATGCGACATGCGATTCAGATTTATGCTCGCCGCTCCAGCAAACAACGACTGGGCGGCGCTGCGATAGTGTGGAGAGGACGTCTGTTGAGGTGGGCGGTCCACTAAGGTCGTTGAGAATTAGACTTTCCGGCGGTTGCAGCACCTTCCTCACGCTGCTGTATCGCGAAAACGGGACAGTTCTTAGCATGCGTACAGGACTACTCGCACAAGAAAGGGCGACCACGAATTACGTGGGCGCGGGGGCTGTCTTCAACCTCGCGTGCAAAAATGAGACTTATGCGGCTCGGTACAAACATCACTACACACCATACACGGCTCAGCTAGTTAAGCCAGAATGCGTTAAAGCCCCACACCCATCCGGGTGCCGCCTCAGAACACATTGAGCGGACCTATCGAGACTTCCTATCAGCCCCCAGCTGGAAGATGTGTCGTGGCTCCCCCGCCGAAACAGCCAGCCACATGGAATACCATGGACCGTAAACACGTTAATTCCCTCCATGCCTGCCGCCTCACACCTTTTGCGGCGCAGATTCCCGTCCTTCATAACATCCGTTGCAAGCGCGCGTGTCGCGTGCGGCTCCTTGGCACTTTGCCAAGTCCTTTAATTGCGCTTTCAAATACAAGTAAAACGCAATTTCCTGATGCGGATAACATTGGAGGAGGTTGCTCAAATTAAGAACAGGAAATGACGAGCTGTCAGAACTTAAGAGCAACTGCTGCCCACTTCTTCCAACAATCCCCGGAGCCGCGTTATGTGCACGCAACAGGTACAGCATGTTTGCGAAACCCATAGGGGGTCGTACTTGGCCGCTGGGGATGGGGGGGGGTCGTAATCTCAAGGGCCACTCAGAGCCGAGCAATGCTTCGACATTTCAGTAGATAGTGGCGCCCTCAAGTGGACTATTGGAAGCAAATGTTTAAAAAAAATGAAGTTTATATGAACTGCTGATATTCGTACAGTTTTATGCTACGTTTAACAGCCCTCTTTTCATGGGAAATCCCCAAGAATGGGTTCGTACTTGGCCGCGACGTGGAGAGTATCGCAAAAGTAGGCTCGCTACCGCCCATCACAACCTAGTTACCGAAAGGTGTCATGCTAAAGGTAATGGAACGGGGTAGCAGAATAGATTAGGAATTACAAAATAAAAAAGTATTTATTTATGTCGAGTATTGTGTTTTATTTTTAGGTAGCCCAAGAATCAAATAAATTAAATGAAACAGTTGTCCAGGGTTTGATAATGAACTCGTAATTACGTAATGATCAAATAATAGTCTCAAAGCTATGGGTATATCCAGTGCGTGTTTGTCCTTTACAATACCCCCTAAAACAAAAAAACATCTGCTTGCATGCGAATTGATAAAAGCACCTGAAAATTAGAATTACCACCTTTCCACCCACCTCTTCCAGTAGGAGCCTGAATGACCCGGCGCTACCGACCAAACCGATAGTATAGGGCCCGAGCGCCTACTCCACTCATTTGAAGGGAAATATGTATTTTTGGCAGCACACGAAAGGTTGCTATCCCACAATGAGCAACATAAGCGAGTCAACTTTTTCGGCTTCGCTCCAGGTAGCCAAGGGTAACCCACTAAAATATCCTGACAACTTAGTGGTCTCAGAAAAACGTGAAGACTTGTTGCGAAGAGAAAGGATAAGAGGGTTCACGGACACGCGGTTTTTAATCCTGATGAAATTGCGTTGAACGAAGCAATCCTCGCGTGAAGCATGGAAACCAGCTCGCGATTTACCCCTAGCCTATCCAAAACCCATCCGGAATATTTCACCAACGGGGGATTGTTCAGTTTGCAACTAGGTAGAATACACAACAGTAGAAACTTTGCCGTTGCATGCTGCTCACCATTCCTCAAAAGCTCCGCACCTAAAAAAGATATAACCCCCGAACAGACCCCAGGACGTTGGCAAGTCCAACAACCGCGCTCCAATGACGTTTTCCAAAGAAAGCGTCGCACTGCCCCTGCAGCCTGATCGATAATAGCCAAGTATGGAACGATTTACTGCCGGCCTGGTTATCCTTTTTTCATTTAGCTCTGCATTTTTTGTATTTTCCATGTTTCGCTTTGTTGTGTCGTGCATGTTTTCATTATTTCCCCGTCACCATTCATTGAATGCACATCTGGGCCCTGACACGCTCACCTTGGGGCTATTTTTTTCACCAATTCAGCCTATCAATGATCACCATTAGCCGCTATTTCAATTGTGTTTCTTTTACAAGTTGCATGTCATACATAGTTATCGAACGAGGAGTTTTATTTTGAATCCTAAGACAAAATTGTAGGTAATGCGAGGCTGTTGTTCAGCCTCATATTGCCAAGGCTGAACACAGCTTTTATTTCCTATATTTTGAGAGCAGAGTGCGCCTTTCGAGAATCCAGATTCCATTTCAGGAAGTCATTTGTGGTGAACATGCATCTGGTTGTCAGTTAGAGCAGGAGGGGGGGGGGTCGTGTCTGGACCCTCTTCGAGGGGGGGGGGTCGTACCCACACCGCCATTTGACACATCCCCATGCTGTACCCTGTCCACGAAACATGAAAATAAAACGGCATACTCGTTAGTTTGATACAAGCAAAACGCAATTTCCTGAATAAAATTTTAGGTGTTGCTCATGCTTCAAAATCCATGTACAAGGAGATGAAGATGACACAGGCTAGAAATGAAGCACAACGATGTAAATGTAAACAAAACAAAAATGAAAAAAAAAATCAAGGAAATTAGTTAAAATCGCCTGTAAATTTCTACGATCCGGCGCGAATCCGGCGCCAAAGCCATAGAAATACTTAGAACAAACGAGTGGGACGCTTGGGCTGTTTTTATTCTCATGTTTTGTGGGAATGCGCGGCCTCTGATGGATACTGCAGATGCAGCCGAGTTGCTCTTGAGTTCTGGCCCTCGTCATCATCTTCTGTTTTAAGAAAGAACTTTACAGGCGATTTTAACTAATTTGCCTTTCCTTGATTTTTTCATTTTTGTTTTGTTTACATTTACATCGTTGTGCTTCATTTCTAGCCTGTGTCATCTTCATCTCCTTGTACATGGATTTTGAAGCATGAGCAACACCTAAAATTTTATTCGCATCAGGAAATTGCGTTTTGCTTGTATCAAACTAACGAGTATGCCGTTTTTATTTTCATGTTTCGTGGAAATACGCGGCCTCCGAGGGATGTTGCAGAAGTGGCACAGTTGCTTTTAAGTTCTGACCCTCGTCTTCTGTTCTTATTTTGCAGCACCTCCAATGTTATCCGCATCAGGAAATTGCGTTTTACTTGTATTTGAAAGCGCAATTAAAGGACTTGGCAAAGTGCCAAGGAGCCGCACGCGACACGCGCGCTTACGACGGATGTTATGAAGGACGGGAATCTGCGCCGCAAAAAGGTGTAAGGCGGAGCATGGAGGAATTAGCGTGTTTCACGGTCCTGTATCATTCCTGGGCATGTTTGGGCGGGGGGACCACGACACATCGACAGCTGGGGGGCTGATAGTCTCATACACCCTCAATGTGTGTGAGCGTACTATGTGTCTTTAAGTAGTGAAGAAGAAAAGTAGGAAAACATCAAGGGAAATGTCCTATATAGACGATGGCGAATTGAGTTTGTACGTGCCTAGGGCGAGGAAGGTAGTGAGGTGGTTGGACGAGTTCCCACTGTTGCTGCCAGCTCTCCCTCTCCTTATCATCTGCTTCCATGGAGTGAAGAGAGTTGCTGGTGGAACCGCACCATCAGGTAGCGGGTAAAAATGAACGTTGGGCTTTGCAGTAGTCAGTGTTCGAGGCATCAGTACCTTTGCAAGCGGGCGGCGCTTTCTTCTCGTGTTTTTAAGCGACGAAATGAGTGCATCCTTAGTACTCGTAGTGAGGGCTACAACATCCAAAAAAAGAGCGGGAAGATCAAATGGACGTGGGCTCTGCCTCAAATAAATGTAGGTAAAGCGGCACTGATAAAGAATTGATTCCGCATTCATTATGATAACTGCTGCTAAAAGCACGCGCTGTGTTCATCTGATGTTCTATGTTTTCTCCGGGCAAGGTCATCCTGCGTACAATCATGGAGAATGCGCCATTTCCGCAGCTTGAAAATCGTGGGGAAGTGCGATCCGTTCGCAACTGAGGCGAAACCTCGCCCGTTGCCCAAACGACCAAATGTTCCCTGGTGGTGGTGCGATTGTTCCGCTACTAGCTGGTGAAAGTTCCTCCGAACCTCCCCTCTTCCTTATGCAAGTGCAGCATGGGGTACTATACAGGACATTTCGAATAAATTTCTCTTGCCTTTTCCTCATTACGACCTCTCATTGCCTTGTCATTTGTACTTACGCACACAACTTACCACTTTTAAAGGCAGTTGGCACGATAAATTCCCCAAGGCGACTAGGATCAATACTCCTGGCAGGATAGAATTCCGCGACCCTGGGCAGGCTGCATAGCGGTTTCCCCGAGGAAGGTGCCCTTATAAGGGCCCTATCAAGCCACAACTTTACGTCCCAAACGCCCGCCACGCCCCCGCCCACAAATGGACGACCGTTCCTGACGCTCGTATTCATTCATTTGCTAAGCAAATTATGAAGCGAAGGGATTGGTATGAAGCGGCCGTGATGCTGCATGCATACATGGGTACACATATGCAGCCGTATCTTCGGTAGCGGTGATTGGTAAGATGCCTACGGGAAACTCGTCCGAAATCGATTTACAAGTCACTGAGAACGGAGGTTTCGCAGGATTTTGACCGTTTCACTCCGTTCTTTCGCCATTTCCCCACTATACAGCGCCCTACTAGCATTTTAGGCTAAGTAGGAAACCATCGTGCCAACTGCCTTGGAAGACGGGGCATTTAATATCGTACCCCGCGGTCCGAATATTATCACAAGAGGGCTGTGTTATGGGAAAGATTTGACCTGAGGCTGTACTCCAACCCAAACCTTACTCACCAGGAGAAGTCCGCCAACTTACCATGGAACTTTGAATGGAGACCTGGGTAGATCGATAGAGTCTATAAGGTTATTTACAAATATAGATAGCAAAACTGCAACCTGCATTTCACAAGCAACTTATGAGCAGGTAAAGTTTGTAATGGTGCAGTAGGGTGGAGGCTTGGTGGTGAGCTGTGAAGCATAAGCGAGGAATCGCATACGTCGAATCGAGTCGTGGTGGTTCAGTGGTAAGGTTCGACGTTCGACGACTCGATTCGACGTATGCGATTCCTCGCTTATGCTTCACAGCTCACCACCAAGCCTCCACCCTACTGCACCATTACAAACTTTACCTGCTCATAAGTTGCTTGTGAAATGCAGGTTGCAGTTTTGCTATCTATATTTGTAAATAACCTTATAGACTCTATCGATCTACCCAGGTCTCCATTCAAAGTTCCATGGTAAGTTGGCGGACTTCCCTGGCGAGCAAAAGTGCTATTCGTTACGCTTCCGACTAAGCTTCATACCCTCTCAGCTTGAGATAAAAAGGAAATTCCTCGAAACTCCTGTACACGGCGCCCTCTAACAAAGAAACACATGAGGAACCGCGTGCAGTGTTGACTGGCATGGATTCCGGTTAACATTAAAATGTGACATACATAGCTGAAAAATCAAATCGTAAGTTATCGGTAGAAAAAACCCACGTCAGTGACCCTCTGTCGCACGTCTCCATCAATGCTTGTCGGTAGTTTCGCTGGCGCGGTCACAGGTCCTTGAGCACGAGCTGGTGGCATTCGTGGGACATCTGGAGAATCTGCTCTGCTGTTGCTGGTGGTTGAATTTCGATCGGTGATGGGTCTCGGTAGAACAGAGCTTGGCCTCTGGACGGTAGTGGACGGTCGATTGCTACTTGGCAATGGCCTTGCAGCCTTCGTTTCCCTACGTGGATAACGAGGGCCCCAACCCTGAAAAAGCCATGTATGAGGAGCTGCTCTTAGCTGGTTGTTCTAAACAGCAGTACTTTCGGAGAGAAGTTTCGACATGTCGTGGAAGTCATAGTTTGAAGAGTTTAATAGCAAAACGTCTCTTGACAGCACACTTTGAAGAAACGTTTTGCTTTGAAGAAACGTTTTACTATTAAGCTCTTCAAACTATGACTTCTATGTCATGTCGGAACTTCACAGTGAAAGTTTCACTGCTAAAACTCTGTTCACAAGTTATTCGGAGGGGATAGTATAGAAGCACCTCTTACCTCGCTAACTGGCATGACATCAAGGATTTTCCACATCGTCGTTTGTTGTCGAATACTAATATTCATGGGCCGGTTCAGTGCTACTCTGAGTATGTAGTCCCGACCACCTTCCAACAATCCTTTTGGATCAGCGATGAATCCCAAATCACGATGTTTGTATTCGGCTCCACTTTGGTGTGACACCGCGATAGATGCGGAGACTTCCATCTGAGTGTATGCTATGAATAAGAGCTACGAAAGAAAAATTATAGGAGTACTGAAAATCCCTGAGATGAGGTAGGCGTGGTGCGTATTCGAACTGAACGTGCTGGCGATCAAGGCTTGTCTTTGTTCAACACAGAACAAGGTGACAGTTGTCCCAAATTGAAACATCCCTCGTGTAACCGATCCTATGCCATGTTCAAATGCCACACCCACTCCGTCTCAGGAGTAAGAAGCGGAGTAAGATGTGGTGTATTAGGAATCGTTCTATGTCTCCCTCACCTCTATCGAACTGTTCACAACGAATGTTGGTAGAGGACCTCTCACGAGTCTGCAGTCCTCGATGTTCAGCTCTAACCTTGGTCGATCTCGGTCGTTACGACCAAGCACCGCTCTGGCATAGTCCGCACTAAACAGCCATGCTTTATACAAACTAGTAATAAGCTTGCCTTCAGTGAGCATACTGGTCTCGTTCTGGGAGACAGTAGCAATGGCCGAAGCTCTGTACAAGGCAAACCACTCAATCGGAACTAGTGAAAAAATGGAGAAACCAACGGGATGACAAATTCGATCCAACGGCCAATGGGAAATTTTGAGCGTCTGTAGTCGTCAAAGCCAAGGTGCAATAGAGCTGCTTGAGGACTGTCTCGAGTCCAGACATAGCCAATGAATTCACTGTCCATTATGCTTTCCACAATGGCGAAGATAACGCCCAATAAAACAACCTCATCAGTGTCGCCATCCTGGAAACAGCACCTTCTTTCTCCAACATTACACAAAGATTGGTTGAAGAAGAGTTACTTTTAAACTGAAAGGATGATGAATGGGACAATAATTATGTCATCCCATTCAAAAGTGCCGACGGTTTATTCGAGTAAAACAAAGACAGAGAATAGATAAAAAAGTGATATTAGAGAATAGATAAAAAAAGTAATATTTTGGCTTCAAGTTAAGATCCCTCCTTCACCAATGACCCGCTCCCAGTGCCCCGAAAGCCTTTGGACCTCTGGTACCTTCGATTTTTCAACAAGTGCGAGTAAATTGCCGAAGAAATCGGAGAGCACTCTCGACTGACGAGAACAATTGGAATCGCTCGGCTATGTTGGGCGAATGGGGCGATTGAACCCAGGTCTCAGCACTGTTTGTGTCCCAGCACTGCCCTACAATACAGTCACTCGAAGTCTGGCACTATGACGAGCAACGGTGGCCTTCAGTTGTGTGGTATCATCCATTTGTCGATCTGATTGCCGAGGAACAGGCAATATACACCGACAGCGACGATTTTATTCTCTGTATAGAGCCGCCTGAAAGCCACAGTGTGGGAATCCTTTGCTATGATGATCATCCACTTGCGCCCACGTAACTCTTCATGGTAGAACTCGGGCGGCTTCTCATCTGCATTCATACAAAATTGACGATTGTGAGTTTTGGCTCGAGGTCCAAGACCACCCATATTTCATCTAGGGCCGGGGTGCGTTTTCACAGTCGTGAATGACATCTCATGCTGAGAACATTACTGCTAGAGGCATAGAATCGGTACTGCGTTCGTGCTTCTACAAGAAAATTAGGTACCCATGCGCACACCCTCTTGACCATCCTCAGTTTATCGGACATAACTCGGGCAGCAGTTGCAGCAGGGATGTCAGTCTCGCGGGGAAGCTCGACAAAGGTTCAGGCTCTGTGATCAGACATTCAGCGCTTGACTTCATCCACCCTTTTTTCTTGTGCAGGATGAACATTATGGGACCATCCACGACAACAAATTTTTTCCTTTCTTCCTTCTTCGGGCTCCTGAACCAAACCTTCCACCTTGTATATCGAGAACACCATTACACACAACTACTGGTCCGGCGCCGGTCGAATTTGAGCAGCGCACTTCCCTCTTATGACGTCTGATTTGAAAATCGGGCGCTGATTTTCACCACTCGGGCTTCTTTTCAATTTCTCGAGATTTCCTTTTGTGGTATCACCTATCACCTGTATCACCTGTGCTCCCGTTGATCATCGAGTTCCTCGAGCGGGCGCCAGTAACGTCTCCATTCGTCCCTGCAACGTGCAAGAGTTGCCCAATGAACTCTCTCTGCTCGACACGATGAACTTCATACCATTCGTTCAGAGCTTTCACGAAGAAGTCTGACCATCGCATAGGCGGTCGTCCAGGCGTTCGCTTGACATCCCGTGGAATCCAGTCGGTGATCGCTCTGGTCCAGCGGTCGTCCTCGAAACGCATGACGTGCCCGGCCCACCTGATCTTCGAAACCTTGGCAAAAGCGGCGGCGTCTCTGATCTTCGATCGTCGGCGGAGTGCGCTCCGGATTCCCTCTCTCACTTGCGTGTAGCGGGAAACTCCGAGCATCGCCTTTATAGTTAAA